AATCAAATCACTTTCCATTCAGATTTCGACTTGACTTTGTTCTAGCTTTCTGAACTTTTTTTGAAAATGTTCTGAGCAAATGCTTTCTCATCACTTTCGAGTGATGTTAAATGCAATAAGTCACCTGATTTATTTTGGTGGTATATTCTACGATTAGCTTCAGTTAGCTTGTAGGTAGTAGTTGTTGTGATAACAGTTGCACACGAAGCAACTGACTTATTGCATTCAACATCAGTAGAATGTGATGAGAAAGCATTTGCTGAAAACATTTTCAAAAAAAAGTTCACAAAGCTAAAACAAAGTGAACAAGTTGGAATCTGAATGAAAAGTGATTTAATTTGAAAAAGATTTGTTCTTATATTAAAGCTACTGCTTTAAACTGCTAGATCCTTTTTGCTCAATGATCAGTGATCATTTTTAGAACAAAAAAACTCTTTATTTGCTTTAATTAGTACGCAGACACTATTTGTTTGTTTTAAGTAAACAAACAGTTTTTGTTTATTCTAATTAGAATAGTGCAATTGACCATTTTTAAGCAAAAGAAGAGTCTTAAAACAAATACTTTTATAAAAATGCAATTTTAGGTAAGATAAACATGCATTTCTCCTATATGGCGCAATACCTGAACAGCAAACCTTAACTTCAAAAATTGATATCTTAAAAACTACTTGGTATATTATTTTAAAAATTTGGATTCTTACTAATAAAAAGATGCTTTACACGATGGTGACAAAGAAAAAAATACTCGTAGGGTTTTTCTTAGATTATTTCGATTTACTTCGAACTTCTTCGGACACTGTTCGAAGAAAAGTTTGCCCATATTCAATTTCAAATTAAATATCATTCTAAAGGGCAAGTCTATCCCTTTATTTGAAGGAAATCGGTTAAATAGTTATTGAGTAATGATTTTTTAAAGTTAAAGTATTTTAAATTCATTTAAATTACGAGTACAATAAAATTATTTATTATTAATTAAATTATTTAGTTCAAAGTGTGTGGACTTTTTGAAATTTTTTTTAGTACATTTTGTCTCACTGAGACGAACAAAATGATATAAAATGTGTCAAGTTGTCACGACATGACTTTTTTTTGTCGCCCTTGTAAGAAATCAGCAAACAATAAACCAGGCAACAAAATTAGAAAAAAATTTGACCTTTTCTTTCTCTCGTTTTGGAAATTGTGGATGAGGGCCCTAGGGAATTTTAATTTAATCCCTTTAGATTAGGGGTGCTTAAAAACGGCATCCCTTAGTCGGCGAAACGTTATTTCTAGCCAATACCACCTTTACTTCAATTAAGGAAGCTATTATTAGAGCATTTCCTGAGACTCCGGAACGCACAAGAAAATTCCTACTAAGAGAAACTTGAATCTGGCTGAATTAATTAAAAGTTGGGAGTTAAAGACTGCCATTATTGGAAAATACAAGAAAAACCAACGGCGATGTGTTACCTAAATTGCACGTTTTATAAGAAATAAAAAGAAAATTTTATTTCATTTGGAGGAAAGTTTTAAGCGCCTGTCGTTTCGGATCTATATAAATAACAATTATCCCTTGAAAAAATGTACCCTCTTTTTGCATAAATCGCCCAATAAAACTCTGAGAGGGTGAGGTGGATATATGGGAATTTTCATAGAGGTAAAAGTATACATTTATCACAAGAGGTATTGCATAACGCGGCCATATTTTTTATGCAATAGCTATTTTTCACTTATATTAAAAGTCGGTTAAGTGGTTTGCTCCGTTTCCGGGATGTCGCACGAAAGCGATACTTTTTGAGCAAATTTTTCGCTCAACTTTACGATAATTAACCGACCAAGTTTTACCACAAAACTATTCTGTTGTAACACCAACAGACAGTCGGAGGTAAACCGCAAAACTTCACGTCATGTTAATAATTTAAACCAACTTAACAGAAAATCAGCGAAATTTCTATGCTAATTTTTCACATAAAAAATTGCAAAAATCATATTTTTTTTATTAAAACATTAACAAAACAAAAATCACTCTGTTAGAAAAATGCACAGATTTGTAAGTAGTACTTGCTTTAATTAATTCAGTTTAACAAAAATAGGTAGGAACTAAGAAACAAATTTTTCAGTTTTTTTATTGTTATTTTTTGCACCTGTTGGTGTCGTGAATGAAATAAAACACACTATTTACCCAAATTCCAAACATTTATTCAACCACTACGCGTTTCGATCACAAAGTGGTCATCTTTAGGTGAGAATTAAAACTGGATTAATTAATTATCACCTGAGAATGACCACTTTGTTGTCAAAACGCGTATAGTAGTTATACAGAGTGTCCCGCGTCAGATGTTCAAGTCTAATTTCTCTGTTATTTCCCAATGGATTTTTATCAAATTTGAAACATAAATCACTTACAAAGTGGAGATTCAATTAGTATTAATAATATTCTTAAGATAAAAAAATATTTTTTACACATAAACTTCTACACAAAAAATTAACTAAACCATTCGTCTGAATCAATAGAAATACGTCGACTTTGTTGTTGAAATTTTGAAATTAATTTTTGAAAAATTTTTATCAAAACACAAACTCTAAAATTAAAATTTATAGTAAACTCTATAATAAAAAAAATAAGTAATTTAGAATATTTAAAAGGCATGTTAAAATCACATTTTAATGACTAGTGTTGTTTTAGTAATGCGATATTAATCTCTACTTCTACCTAAATTTAGTTAGAATCCGTTGGTAAATAATAGAGATATTATATTCGAAAATTTTAGGTGAGACACCCTCTGTATAAACGTTTGGGCAAATAATGTGTTATGTAGTTTTTTATTTACTTTTTTCACCGACAAAATATAACAATATTTGTTAAAAAAAAATGGTAAATTTTGCTTTGAATGGGTACAAAAATTGATTATCTCTGTTATTTGCCAACGGATTTTTATAAAATTTAAAACGAAAATCACTTAGAAATTTGAGATTCAATTAGTATTAATAAAATTCTCAAAATAAAAAAAAATAACACATATTATCTCAATTTAAAATTAAGAGAAACTATCATTTATATTGTTTCTTACTAAAAATAGACTTTCACACAAAAACTTACTCGTCTGAATCAACAGAAATACGTCGATTTTGTTGTTGTAATTTAGAACTAATTTTTGAAAGAATTTTATCAAAGTAAACCCTGAAATTAAAATTTAGAGTAAACTCTAAAATTAAAAAAAATATATAGTTATTATACAAGACGATAAAGAGATTGTTTATCTACGAGTGAAAAGGTTAAGTTCATGAGTGACGAAGTCACTTATTTGACGAGTAGATAAACAATAAACAATTAAGAGAAAAAATAACATTTCAAAGAAAATTACAATTTTTGGCATTTCTCAATACGAAACGTCAGATTATTTTTAACAGATTATTAAAGCAATAAGTTTAAGCCTTGTTGAGTCAAATTCTAAGAATAAAATGTTTTATTCAACTCGTTTCAGTGTAAATCCACCTCGTGGATGATAAAATTTGTAAATGTAAATGAATAAAATAAGTTAAAACATTTTATCTACTCTTGCTGTTAAAGTGTTACTTTATCTCCCTTTGCGGTTAAAGTGCTACTTTATCTACTCAAAAGAATTGATAAAGACATAGTTTAACATCTGCTATAGAAAAAAGTAATTTAGCATATCTAAAAGGCATATTTTAATAACTAGAATTGTTTTAGTAATTCAATATTAATCCCCAAATACTCTGCATTTTAAATTTATTTAGAATCCGTTGGCAAATAATAGAGATATTAGGTCCGAAAGTTTGAGGTGTGCAAATAATGTTTATGTAGTTTTTTATTTACTTTTTTCACCAACACCGTTTAAAAAAAAAACTAAAAATTAAAATGTCAATTTTTGCTTTGAGTTGGTACAAAAATTGATGGAACAAAATTTCGCTGTAATTTTGCGCTTCAGCCGCTGACATTTGCTCACTCGACGTCTCCTCTACTTTATCTAAAGACACATTCTCGGTAGATTGAATGGCAAGCTCGAGGCAAATTTAATCAGACGTTTACAGTTCCAATTCAATTTTTCCTATGATTATTTCGTTCGAAACTAGAATCTCAATTATTCATAGACAACCCACACGAGCAAGTCTAAACAAAGTGAAATCCTTCAGCAAAGCCATTCCGGTTGATACAAAACAAACAGTTCAATGCTATTCTATTTAAGAACATTTCAGCGCACTCACGTTGCGTGGATCTCTCCTGAATAATAAATAACGCGCGGGCCGAATCCTCCAATCATGGGCCGGAAAGGTCACGTGGGTGTGACGGAAAACAGGAGAGGGAAAGTGTCGTTTTCACTACTCGCTTAATAAAGAGACGAAAAAAACAAACTTATTATTTAAAAACATTCTCAGACTGGTTTCATTTAACCCACACTTTTGTTTATTTTTATTTACAATCTTCTAGACAAAAGAATTGGAAATTGCAGCAGCAGTGTAATAACGAGCGGGCGGAATCGTCTAATCAAGGGAGTCGAAAAGGTCACGTGGGTGGACGGAAAACAGGAGGGGGAAAGTGTCGTTTTCACTACTCGCTTAATAGACAAAACGAAAAACAAACTTATTATTTAAAAACTGGTTTCATTTAAACCACACTTTTGTTTATTTTTATTTACAATCTTCTAAATAAAAGAATTGGAAATTGCAGCAGCAGTGTAATAACGAGCGGGCGGAATCCTCCAATCAAGAAAGTCGAGAAAGTCACGTGAGCGTGACGGAGAACGGGAGGGGGAAAGTGTCGTGTTTACTACTTGCTCAGTAAACAAGATAAAAAATCAAAGCAGTTTCATTGCAGTGTGATTTGAGAAGTTTCTCAGACTGGTTTTATTTAAACCACACTTTCGTTTATTTTTATTTACTTTCTTAGGGACATAAAGAGTTAAAAATTGCTGCAGTCTACAGTGTTTGTGGTTCCTTTGCAAACTTTATTAAATTTCCTCGTTAGATGGCAAATTTGGACATTTTACATCGTTACTTACCTACGACAGACAGTGACATGGAGAATCCTATTGGTGGCGTTGTGCCAACCTGACACTCATAAATACCACTATCTCGACGCTGCGGATAGCGCACTTGAAGCGTCCACTCCTCTGTCATGGGATTATGGATGCTGGTAAATCTCTGGTCGGATGTGTAAGTCGACCTGCCCACCGTCAGGAGATGGAGGTCTCGGTGGCGGATCCACGACACCTGGAGCAAGAATTCACTTTAACTTTATAATAATTTTTCATGTAAAGTCCGTTTTTTTCATTTATGCGAAAGACGTACCAGTCAATATTGTTCAATATTTGTAAACAGCCTTGTTGCGCTATAACAAATGCTATTAAAGTAACGCAGAGCTAATGACGTGTGTCTTACTGTCACGTAAATCATTTGTAATTTTATTTTTAAGAGGAAAAACTGTCTCGAGGGTAATATTTATACTTTCTGTATCACACAATCCCTACAAAAATCCTAGCTTTAAATTTGACTTTAGAACTAAAATGTCAGAAGCTGTCAAATGTCAAAAACAAACGGAAGTCATGTCGTGTTCTTGATTCACACTACCCCCACCATCAAATAAAAAAAATGACTGTAATTATTGAAAACTTAATAAAAATTACTTATTTAATGCTAAACCGTTTATTTCGTCCGCTATGGAGTTTCTTGATGAAATTTAAACTAATTAAACTCGATGGTGGCAACGTCGTCTAATTGCAATGCAGTGCAGATCTGCATCTCGATAAAATGTTGAAATTTATGGTAATTTGACCGTGTTTTCGCACAAAAAGAGCAATGAGCACATTGGAAAATTGAATTTAGCTGAGTTTAATTGAAACAAAAAGAGGCTCAAGCAAATCTTTTCTTTTACGACTTTAATAGAGTTAAAGTTAGAGTTTGTTAAAGTAACAACAACTGACTGAAAATAAATGGATCTTTTATTTAAAAAGTTATGCTTTCAACCATGAAAAATGCATTTTACTGAAAATATAAGTTTAAAAGCTTAATTTCGTAAAGAGTTTTAAGTTAAGGCACAAATTTTATAACTTAAAATTTTAAATAAAGTTTTATATTTGAGCAAAATTACTAAATCCTGAATTTTAGAAGTTATTTAATCGTCTCCAATACTAAAAAAAAACTTTCCAATTTTCGAAGTTTTACTATAGATATTTTCCTGAAAACTATAAAATTTTAATTAAGACAGCTGAAAATTCAGTGTCTAAGTTTGAAAGTTGAAATATTGATTTACATTATCGATTTTCAGATTAAAATTTATGTTGAGGGCTATAAAATTTAGAATTGCTAAATTGCTAAAATCGACAAAAGTGATAATGATTAAGAGATTTGTTCCTTTAGTTATCTTTTATTCTAAATTCTATATACTTGTGACAAAAACGATATCTAAAACTTGTTAAGTTATTTATAAAAAGAAAAAAAATAATGAAATGCATTCAAAATAATACAAAAATAATTATTTTGTACTCAATGGTAAAGAGTGCTTTTATCAACTAATTTCAATAGATAAAGCAGTCTTTCATCGTCTAGTGAAATAAAGTAATTTTTATCTGCTGTTTATATTCTTTATTTTGTATAAGAAATTCTGGTAGGTGAGTACAAAATAAAACGAAATATTATACACGACAATAAAAATTGTTAGTCTACTCGTGAAAAAAGTCTACTCGTGACTTTGTCACTGATAAACTTAACCTTTTCAATCGTTGATAAACAATTTCTTTATCTTCTTATATAATATATAACTATTATCAAACTTTTAAACTTTTTTTGTCTTAAGAAATAGTTAATAAACTTTCATTTTTCTCAAAATTTGACACAAAAACACCACTGTAATAATTTTAAATACCAATAATATTTTGAACCTTGAGACTTGATAATTTAGGTTTATACAGGATGTTTCTTCTCAGAGAAAAATGCCAAGTAAGATAAGGTACCAGAAACATGGAAAAAATGTTTAAACAATTATATTTTTTATCATTTGACTTTTTTATGTCTATTTAATGTCACCGACAACCTTGTATATGTTTTTTCATAATTATTCAGTAAAGGTACAAAAACTGTCAATAACAGCCACAAATAACGTTAAACATAGTTACAATTTAGGATACATTTTCTTTGTTTCCTCTTCTAATAGCCTGCAGCAAAAAAAACAGATATAAATAAAGTCAAAATTTATACCGCAGTAATTTCTAAATTTTTAATTTTACTTTTTTTTTAATTTTTTCCTTCTTAACTTACTTGTCATTTTTCCCGGAGCGCGAGTTTTAAATTGAAATTTATTTTTTACCCAGAATTCCGTGTTTTGAAGATAAAATTTAAAAACACAATATTGACTTTCAATTAAAAAAATTTAAATTCAGCTGTAGGAAACAATCCAGAATTAACCTTTAAGTATTTAGAGTTTGAACTCTTAGAAGTATGTCAAAAAAATAGACTTCTAAACGTTGTAATTATTTGATAGCTTGCGTGAGCTGCCTTGAAACGCGGAAAAATCGGCCATCACAATTTAATAGAAAAATTGATGACTCCTCATATCTAGCGATGAAAAACATATTGATTAATCTACGACACGCGATTTTTCCGTCATTAATTCCTCCTTCGACAAAAAACCGCAAAAACCCCAAACCCCAACCAATGAAAAACGACAAAGTCGACCTTATCTCAGTCAATTAATCGCCTTTTATGCCTAATCCTAAACCCAAAACTAATTAACAAACATGAATATCAAGTCAATAAGCGACCAAAATCCGTCTAAATTAATTAAAATGCGTTTCAGAACCTGCGAAAAGACGAGAAAAAACGTCTTTTGGTTAGGAAGCGTAATATTAAATCAAAGCCTCATTAAAATGCTCGACAGGGGTGTAATCAGTAATCTGAGATTTTTCAAAAGGAGTAATTAGTGGGTGGTGTGTTGCAGACAGACCAATCGATATACCAACACGCATTTGTCACCTCTCTGGAGCTAAATTGTAAATTAATGTAATTCCGGTACACATTTAGAGAATTTGTTGAATTAATTTAGCGACAAGCTTGGGTCGGAATCATCAAATCTTGTCGATTTAGCAACTCATGACGCAAACCAAATTAAGCCATTTTCATTTTTTAACGCTTTACTGAGTTACTTCATTTGGATTTGGGCGAATTTGCCAGAAATCGGGGCGTTTTATAAATGGAGATGACGCACGAAAGCGACCAAAAAACGTCAACTGTTAATAATTAAAAGCATTTATTTGCGACGTCTCTAATAACAAAGCATTCCTGAAACTATGAAGCGCATCTATTGAATTATTAATGATCGTAATGGCTTTGTCGATAACAAATTCGTTGTTCTCTTGGAGATTAGTGCAGTTTATAAATTGTTTAAGGCAGAGGCAATCTATCACCGACAATTGCAACACAATCTTTCAAAAATTAAAGACTGACTATTTGAGTAAAATATGAAAATGCGGCACTATTTCATGTTTAATTTTTGTTTTGGAGGAGAAAGAAACAAGAGCAAGAAAGTTTGTGAAGCCCGGCACGTCAAGGCGAGTTTTCAGAAGCATTATTTTTATTTAAAGTTTCCTTAAAGTGTGTAGGAATCCATTAGGTGACAACGGTTTCCAATCATTCTCTTTCTTGGGGCTTCTGTATTGATTTAAAATCAGAAACGTCACAATATTTATTTTATTCCCCAGATTCTGTTATTATACCAAACAATGAAACTGTGATCAGTTTAGTTTAAAACAAGTGTACTGATTTTGCAATTTATGCGAAATGTTTTGCTTTAATAAACCCTAATTGGTGATTAGCTTGGTTACATTAGTGAAATGTTGTAATCCTTGTCACGGTCCCCGAATCAAATTCGTGTTTTAAACGGATTTTGGGGAATTTCCTCCGAGTCGGATGTCTGCAACTAATGAAGATATTTCCGAACAGCGCCGTTTGCAGATTAAAACCAATTTCGCTACTGTATCGATATTACAATTTATGCAACTTTTACAATTTCTATTCATGAAATGGAGAAAGGAAATTACGCTTTCCGACTTGGTTAGTGGATATAATAAAGAACCAAGCTGTGAAATTTCTGATTAAGGTCGAGGATCGAAACCAATCAAATTAGGATCTATCACAAGTAACATAATAGTAACACTTTATTAAAAATTTATTATACTCGCGCCCCAAAGATAACTATTTACTTTTCTTTAATGCTTCTGTAGATTTTTCTACAAATTTTTTAAATAACCTTTTTACATTTTTTTTCTAGGTTCTACTCAAAGTTTTTTTCATTACTTTTAAAAGTTATAAAATTTTGATATACATACATGGTGCGCCAGAACTTGCCCCTTAGCAAAAAAATGTTATCTATAAAAATTTCGAAATTTTGAGAGTTTAAATTTTGCACTTTAACTCTATTTCTGTTGAAAAAATGATTTTTATGTGTTTTTGCTACAGGCTATTAGAAGAGGAAACAAAGAAGCTGTATAGACATAAAAAATGTCAAGTATCTAAAATGTAAAATATCTAAAATATGTCAAAATTTTTTGACATATAGAATTTTTTAAACATTTTTTTCATGTTCTTGGTATCTTATCTTATTTGGAATTTTCATCTAAGGCGCGAGTTCTAAAGCATCCTGTAATTATGACAAGTGCACAATCTCTGTTACTACATTTTCCCAATTTTGTAGCACTTTTACAAAAGTGTATCAAGAAAAAAAATTATCAACGCTTTTGAAAAAAATTGTTTTTGTAGAATGTGTCAGAACTCACCCTTCAGAGAAAAATTTCAAGTAAAAATAGAATACCAGGAACATGGAAAAATATTTAAAAAATAAAAAATTCTCTCTGCCAAAAAGTTTGGCTCTACCTTTTTGACATTTGACATTTTTTTATGTCTAAAGGTACAACTTAGGACACAATTTCCTTTTTTTCTTTTTTTCTAATAGCCTGTAACAAAGAAAAATATTTTTCCAACAGAAATAAACACAATCAAAGTGCAAAATTTAAACTCTAATAATTTTGAATTTTTTATAGATAGAATTTTTTTAACATTTTTTTCATGTTCCTGGTGTTTTACCTTGCATGGCATTTTTTTTGGGTGGAAGTTCCGGCACATCCTGTATACAGAAAGTCTCAGCGAGTTGGTAAAGTTTATTATTAACTTTTAATTGTTAAATTAAAAAAAATATATATGTAAGAAATGGATAGATCATC